TAATAAAATATAAAACTATCTCATCAATAATTTTTAAGTATTAATTACATGTTGACATGATACTATTTTGGATGTATTGGTTCCATAAAATATTGCTAAAATGAATTTCACTCATTCCTTTTTACTTTTAAAAGATGTGATTATTAGAAAAGCTACAATGACATCTGTAGCATGCCTTATCTTTCTATTGGACAGGCTGTGCCAGACTCCATTATCTTGTGTCTTTTATTTACCACAAAATGTCCAGCACCTCATACTTAGCTTCACACCTAGTACCTTGCTTTGCACCTGGTAGGTATTAACTATTGTTTGAAACAAATGATACGCCTAAGATGTAGACTCAAATCCCAACCTGAAGAGTGAAAGCCATTTTCTCCAGCAACAGGATCCTCCAGTGTCTTATGTGGAAGCCCAATATATGGAACAGATTGAAGGGGTGGGGGTCCTTCTGGTTGAAAGGGAGGCACGGCAATAGGGGCTACAATGTACTCAGTCCTTCCCCTGCCCCTTGTACCCTTAGGCTCCCAATGCAACCCCATCATTTGAGAGAAGGCGGGAAAACAGTGAACTAGAGGATCCCGTGCAACTTTTTCTATGAGCTGCCCCATATTCTTCACATAAATTCATTTTCTCTCATTCTAGAGTCACTGATGCTTGCCTCCAAAGAAACTTGAATGATATGAAAATTGGTACCAGAAGTGGGGTTATGGACACTGGGTGGCAAAATCAATGTGTCATTATCTTCTCCAGTATGGAATGGTGGGATGGGAGGCCTCTCTGTCCTTATGTCCCTCCCAGGGAGTGCTGTGCAGGCCCAAGATAAACTCTTGGGTTCTCTTCTCCAGGGTGAAGTGTTGGGGAGGCAAGTGTAAGGGAACCGGGAGGTGGGAAGGGTCTGGAAGGTCTGGGTGTTACCTCTTCTAGGCAGCGAGCTTCTTCTTGTTTGTTCTCCTTTACAAACTCCTCCAGAGGATATTTCAGCCATGGGAATGGTGCAATGGGCCAGTCAAAGGAAGGAATGTCAATCTTGTGAATAGCTTTGGAATGTGTGGTCGCTAGGCAACCTAGACTCCCCACAAAACAGAAGAGCAGTTGGTTGGCTTAGGGGAATACAATGAACAGTGCTCAAAAAGCAGAAGATGGGCATTTCAAACCAAGACCTCGATTGCCCTGGGAGTTCCTATAACATCCTGAAGCTGAAGAAGAACCTGTGAATCATTTGTGTGTGTGTGTGTGTAGCTTTCTCCTTCATCACAGATTAAGCACAAGTTTTGAAGGCAGGGAGACAATGGTTTATCCTGGCTCTGCCACTGTATGGCCTTGGAATGTTTCTCTTCTTTCTGAGCCTCTATTTCCCTGTCTGCAAAGTGGCAATAACAATCCCCACTCTGCAGAGTGGTCTGGAGTCAATGAGACAAGGTGGGGAAAGTGAGATCAAAGGCAGCCTTTGCTATTGTTGCTGCTATTATTACTGTGTCACCTGGGGATCCCAGTGGCCCTTCCTTACCCATGGTCCTTCCATGGAATGCACCCATGAAAGAGAGGATGCTGTAGTCTGGGCAGCCAGGGGCCTAGAAACAAGAAATAGTGGGCATCAGTCACAGTTGTGAGAAGGAGGGGACTCTGTGGCTCCCCCCAAGAATGAGAAGGAACATCAAAGTCTATCAGAAGAACTGGGGGTCTCTTCTCAGGCTGAAGTCACAAACTGGACCCCTACTTCTATAGCCAGCCAATGGATGTTTTGCCCACATGGCCCGCCAAAATATACTTTTTTCCAAAAAATATTTTAATTAAGAAATTTCACCTAAGTATCTGAAATGTCTTCTCTCAAGTTCTATATCATTTGGGCTTATTTTTGTCACCCAAGCCTAAAGTCTGGGCAAATGTGCAGCTCCACGGCCCACTGCCTGCCTTTCTCCTTTACATCACCGGCCATCACCTGCTGGGCTGCTTGGGGCTTTTGAATTTTCAGCCCCTGTCTGCAGGCTCTTCCAACTCCCACAGGCTCTCCCCCTACTCCAAACTGCTCTGGCTTCCACAGCAACCAGGTGGGCTAAGTGGGCCACGACAGGAGGCTGAGCAGGGCACCTCACAGGGAATGAAAGCCCCAGACCTTTGGACCAGGGCTGCTACATCAGAGTGGGAGGCTGGGCAGCGAGGACCTTCTGCCCCCATCTTTCTGTCTTCCCAGGGTGGCTGCCCCTGTGTTCAAGAGAGATACCTGAATACCCAGTCCCCAGTGGATGGCACAGCTGCATTGTTTCCTCACCCCACAGCAGGCAAGAAATCAGAACTGTTTCAAGCTGACTCTAGGAGAGCTACTGAGGATGCTGCAGAGGCAGCCATGGGGTCCCCCTCATCTCTGGAAATTTCATACAGCATGCTCTTAGTCTGGCTGATCTCCACCAGGTACCTGAGACCCCTGGTAGAAGCTCTAAGACCTCCTCCCACAAACTATAGTGTATCATCTTGTCATTTCCCTTTAAGGAGAGGAAACACTTCCTTTGTTCCTTTGTATTTCAATATACACATACTGTCTCACATCTTTGGCTGCACACATTAAACGGGAGGAATAAGATCTAAAGATACTGCAGGATGTCCACAGATATCAAACGAGAAAGAGGTAGTGGAAGATCTTTCTTTTTTTTTTCAATGCTATTTTTAAAAAGATTTTATTTATTTATTTTTAGAGAGGGAAGGGAGGGAGATAGAGAGAGAGAAAGAGAAACATCAATGTGCGGTTGCTGGGGGCCGTGGCCTGCAACCCAGGCATGTGCCCTGACTGGGAATCGAACCTGCGACACTTTGGTTCACAGCCCACGCTCAATCCGCTGAGCTACGCCAGCCAGAGATCTCTTTCTTTTAAAACATGGCCAGAAGAAGAAAAAAGAAAGAGCTTAACTTTATGTAGGTTTGTATGAATATGGAGAAAGGTATAAATCTATTGCTAGCAAGAGGCAAGATCAGGAATAAAAAGTTAAGAAAGCACAAAAGGAAAAAATGAAATAAAACAATCTCACCACCCATAGGCATCCTATTATAAACATGTTAGCAGGATTTCTTGTAGTAATTTCTGGTACATTTATTTACAGTATCCATACAATTAACATTCTACTGTTTTTCACTAAATTATAGTACACATGTCTCCAGGCAAAGAGTAACCCTTTCTAACTATTTTTGTTGCAGGATATTGTGGATGTTCGTAGTGCATAATTGAGTTTAGTGGCCCTTGATTCCTTTTTTTAAAATGAGCAAACATTTCTGTCTAAATCATAATGGGACCGCACATGTGAAAGGGGGAAGGGCAGGCATGCTCTGGCTGAAGCTGGCTGCAGAGCTTGGGTCTACCTGCTTGGTTTTCCCTGTGGTCCCCACTACTGCTTTGCCCCAACAGTGGCCTCCTTGGTGCCTCTGGGAACCCATACACTTAATTCCTCTTTCCTTATTAAGTGGTTTGCAATCTTTTTGGTTATTGTTACTCTAAACACCAGTGGGGTGAATACCCTTGAACACACATTTGTGTTGACATTTTGGATTATTCTAGAGATTACATTAAAGCCCTTCTTAGGTGGGTTCAATCCAGGCAGTTGCCCTGGGAAACTGTTGTCTTGGGTCAGGAAGAGCTTCACTTAGCCTTGATATCGAGGGAGTAAACTAGGGAGGCAGAATGCTTGGGGACCCCTTGTTATGGACTGAATGTTTATGTCCTCCCAAATTCATATGTTGAAGTCCTAACCTCAGTGTGATGATATTTAGGTGATTAGGGTTGGATGAGGTCATGAGGGAACTCTCATGATGGCATTAGTTTCTTTATAAAAAGAGGCACAAGAGAGCTTGCCAACACTCGCTGACATGGGAGGACTCAGTGAGAAGGCAGCTGTCTGCAAGCCAGGAAGAGAGCCTGCCCTGGGCAACCAAATTGGCTGCACCTTGGACTTCCAGCCCTCATAACTGTGAGAAAATGCAGGTATCTTGTTTAAGCACCCCACCTCCACCTCATAGTCTATGGCATTTGCTATGGCAGGCTGTGCTGACTATTTGGGAAGGACAGGGTCCATTAACTATGGTCAGCCTGAGGGGGGCTGTGGCACCTCCCTCTTAGAGGAGGAGAAAGGGCCCACTCCACTTACCTGGTTGACCATGCATGTCTCCAGCTCCTCTTTGGAGAAACCTGTTTGACCCCTTTCCTTGCTCTGACAAAAAAGAACAGAACAAAGTCTCAGAGACATTCTATGGTAGGAGGGGCTTCCATCTTCCAATCAGACCCATAGTTAGTCCAGACAATTAGAGAACACTCTCAAGAGTTCATCTCCTAGGTGTTGATTGAGAAGTGAAGAAATAAAACAGTCACTGTGGTCAAGCTGCTGCATTATTAACTTCAAGTGGGCTGAGGCATAAGGAAACAATTATTCTTGTTTAACTGACTCTGGGAACTTAAACTTTCAAATTCTCCAGTCCCATGTCAATACCTGGATGTACATCAGTGCATTTGCTGTGTGTCAATGCCTGGACACACATAAAACCTTCAGCATGAACTCAGGAAGAAAATGTTGCATTGTCTTGACCACCGGACATCTCACAATTACTATCATGGACCAATCCAGGGCCTAAGAATACAGAACTCATTTTTCTTGAGAATGTACTTTTTACTTGGCTCTTGGCACCATTCCCCACAGGGATGTTTGAAAAGCCCCATCCAGGCAGTGGATTTTGAGCATGGTCACTATGTCTCATATTCCAGCTGGCTGGGGTAAACAGTAGGACTAGGGGGTAGATGTGTGGCTGAGTGCTGGGGAACCTCTGTGTGTGTGTCTTCGTGCCTCAAACCTTACCCGATACCACATGAAAATGGTCTTGAAGGCGTTTTCATTGGAGCAGGAGCCGCAGGCCATGGTAATGAGCTGGGACATCCCTTTGGGAGCCACCTGCAGGCAGAGAAATAGCTTTGCTCTCAGCTCCATCTCAACTCCTCCTCCTCCAGCTGGAGCTGTGGGAGGCAGAGGGAGGCTGGGAGGGAACTGGGCACATCCCAGAAGTAGTTAGCCTGGGAAAGTGGTCTTGGGCTCTTTTGGGGTGGTGGAGAAGCCCAGGATGAAGGGCAGAGAGGAATAAAGGGTGAAGCAAAGCCCAGTCTACCTCTCCTGATGCAACTGCCACCCCTTGAGATGCCCATATTTTGCAGATGAAAAGTTGAGGTTCTGAATAATTTTAATCATTGTAACAACCAGAACAGAAATATCAAGGCAGGATGAATAACAGGCAAACCTCCTGTCATGGAAAAAATTATTTATTTTTCCTGAGTTCCATTTTTCCTGCACACAGGAATCCTTTATTTTCTTCAAAAGTAAAAGTAAAAATGCTTTTTTGTGAACAACAATAGAAAAACACAAGGAACAAGACTAAAGGAGAAATACCCCATCCTAATTGTTCTGGATCTCAGTCCTCTCCTTCTCCTGCTAGTGCTGCCTCCTAGAGGCCAGGATGGCCTTTCCAGTGTGGGCAGGGGTGAGGGGGGATCCAGGGCAGAAGGTGGACCTGAGTCCCAGCAGCAGAGGGTCGTTCCCATGGACTCCACTCACCGAGAGCAAGGATTCCCGCAGCTTCTCCACAAAGTTCTCTGGAGGCAGGATTCCCAGGGCAGGTCTGTTGATGAACATGCTCTGCAAAGAGGTCCAGAGACAAATAGTGACTTCTCAGGCCTGACCCAGCTCCAGGTCCACCAACCACACTGTTCACAGGGATGGAGTCCAATAGGCTGAAGGTGTCATATCCATGCTGGAATGATGTATTATCCGGCACTTTTAGAGAAATCCACTAGAACTGCTTTGGATTTTAAGAAGAAATGCCAATTTCTTGGTTGTGATATTGCACTATAATTATATAAGATGCTGCCTTTGGGGGAAACTGGGTGAAAGATACATGGGACCTCTCTGTAATATTTTTGCAATTTCCTGTAAATCGGTAATTAAACTCCCTCACCCCACCAGAATGGCTAAACATTAAAATATGGACAATGGTAAGTGCTGACAAGGATGTAGAGCACCTGGAACTCTCATCACAGCTGGTGGGAAAGTAACATGGTATGGTCACTTTGGAAGGTAGTCTGGCAGTTTCATAAAATGTTAAACATACATGTATCCTATGATCTAGCAATGCCACACCTAGGAATTTACATAAGTGAAATGAAACTGTATGTCCACACAAAGATATGAATGGACATGAATATTTATAGGGGCTTTTTAAAAAATTTGCCCAAACCTGTAAACAACTCAAATGTCCCTCTACTGGGGAAAGGTTACATAAACTGTGATACACGCACATCATGGAATACTACTGAGCAATAAAGAGGAACAATATACCAACATACACAAGGGCAAGGAGAACGTGGTAGAATCTCAGAGTTTCAGACTTCCGGCCAAGAGGGAGGCATAGGTAGACACACTGTGCCTCCTTTCACAACCAAAATAAGGTCAGCAACAATTTAGAAACAAGATAACAACCAGAACTGACAGAAAATTGAACTGTATGAAGTCGGACAACCAAGGAGTTAAAATATACACATTCATCCAGACTAGTAGGAGGGGTGGAGTCAGGCAGCTGGGCGAGGGGTCGTAGCACAAAAAGCAGTGGCACCAGATGCGTAATGCATCCCGGGCACATAAGGCATCCTGGGCGCCAAAGGCATCCCGAGCGCAAGACTGCAGTGGGCAGACCCTGGGCACACAGGCAGCTGGCAGACCCAGTGAGGCGGCCACTGTAAATTGAGGCACTGCACGCAAGGCGCCTGGCTGTCTGGGCCACATTCGAGTGCAAATAAACCAGGCAAAATTGGGCAGTGAGACAGACGGAGCAACCCAGGGTCCCAGTGCTGGGAAATAGAATCTCAAGACACTGCCAAAAATACCTGTGGGGGTTGAGGTGCAGGGAGAGGCTCCCAGCCTCACAGAAGAGTGCATTGGAGGGACCCACTGGGTCCTAGAACAAACACAAGCCCACCCACCTGGGAACTGGCACCAGAAAGGCCTAGTTAGCTTGGGGGAAGCAGTGGAGGAGACTGAAATCCGATAGAGAGAGGAGCAAGTGCCATTGCTGCCTCTTGGACCCCGCCCCCACAAACAAAGTTGCAACCCAGGGACTGGGTTGCCCTGCCCTGGAGAACACCTAAGGCTTCTTCCCCCACTACGTAACAAGTGCGACCAGATTTAAAAAAAAAAATGGCTCAAACGGAAGTACAAATCAAAGCCCCAGAGCCAATATTTTTAAGTGACCAAGAGATAGCCAACCTATCAGATGCACAATTCAAAGCACTGGGGATCAGGATGCTCACAGAATTGGTTGAATTGGTCGCAAATTAGGTGAAACAATGAAGGCTATGATAAAAGAAGTGAAGGAAAATGCACAGGGAACCAATAGTGATGGAAAGGAAACAGACTCAAATCAATAGAGTGGACCAGAAGGAAGAAAGAAACAACCAAACAGAAAAGAATGGAGAAATAAGAATTCAAAAAATGAGGAGAAGTTTAGGCTGGCTGACTGGGCAGTCCCACATTTGCATGCAGATAAACTGGGAGGAACAGCTAGGGAGTAAGACAGATCATGCAACCCAGGGTTCCAGTACAGGGAAATAAAGCCTCAAAACATCTGCCTATAAAAACCTGTGGGGGTTGCAGCAGCAGGAGAAACACCCAGCCTCACAGGAGAGGAGAGGGTCCTAGAATGTACACAAGCCCACCCAGTCCAGGAATCAGCACCAGAAGGGCCCAATTAGCCAGGGAAAGTGACTGAAAGCCAGATGAGAGCCAAGCAAGCAGCACTGTTCTCTCTCGGACCCTGCCTTGAACATATAGCACCACAAAATAGTAACAAGGGTTGCCCCACTCTAGTGAATGCCTAAGCTCCCCCCTTACAACATAACAGCTGCACCAAGAAAAAGAAATATGGCCCAAATGAAAGAACAGATCAAAGCTACAAAAATAGAACTTAGCAATGAAGAGATAGCCAACCTATCAGATGCAGAGTTCAAAACACTGGTAATCAGCATGCTCACAGAATGGTTGAGTATGGTCGCAAAAGAGGAAAAAGTGAAGGCTATGAAAAGTGAAATAAAGAAAAATATACAGGGAACCAACAACGAAGGGAAGGAAACTGGGACTCAATGCTTTGGAGCAGAAGGAAGAAATAAACATTCAGTCAGAACAGAATGAAGAAACAAGAATTCAAAATAATGAGGAGAGGCTTAGGAACCTCCAGGACAACTTTAAATGTTCCAACATCCGAATCACAGGGGTACCAGAAAAAGAAGAGGAAGAGCAAGAAATTGAAAACTTATTTGAACACATAATGAAGGAGAATTTCCCTAATCTGGCAATAGAAATAGACTTCCAAGAAGTCCAGGAAACCCAGAGAGTCCCAAAGAAGTTAGACCCAAGGAAGCACACACCAAGGCACATCATAATTACATTATCCAAGATGAAAGATAAGGAGGCAATCTTAAAAGCAGCAAGAGAAAAGGAGACAGTTACCTACAAAAGAGTTATCATTAGACTATCAGCTGATTTCTCAAAAGAAACCTTACAGGCAAGGAGGGGCTGGAAAGAAGTATTCCAAGTCATGAAAGGCAAGGACCCACCCAAGATTGCTCTATCCAGCAAAGCTATCATTTATAATAAAAGGCCATATAAAGTGCTTCCCAGATAAGGTCAAGTTAAAGGAGTTCATCACCACCAAGCCCTTATTCTATGAAATGTTAAAGGGACTTATCTAAGAAAAAGATGATGATCAAAATCATGAATAATAAAATGACAACAAACTCACTACTATCAAAAGCTGAACATAAAATACAAAAACAAAAACAAACTAAGCAAACCACTGGAACAGGAACAGAATCACAGAGATAGAGATCACACCTTGGCTGGTGTATCTCAGTGGACTGAGCGTGGGATGTGAACCAAAGGGTCACCAGTTCAATTCTATGTCAGGGCATATGCCTGGGTTGCAGACCAGGTTCCCAGTGGGGTCCATGTGAGAGGCAACCACACATTGATGCTTCTCTCCCTCTTTCTCCCTCCCTTCCCCTCTCTCTAAAATAAATAAATAAAATATTAAAAAATATATTTTAAGAAATAGAGATCAGAAGGAAGATGGTGGCAAGATAGGTGGGAGTGGAATCTAATTCCCCATGCCTACAGGTGAAACACCTAGCCAGTCTTCTGAGGAACAGACTGAGCATCCAATGGTATCCAAGCATATATGAAAACTGGAGACCAATAATTGTAGAGGACACTGAAAAATCAGATGTGAGACAATAAAACCTGGAGCTGTGAAAAGACCAGAACTGGACCCAAAGAGGAGTCATTCTAACAGCTGAGACAATCACAAAAAAGGGTAGGTGGGAGCTGTGAACACCAGGATACCCACTGGAAGAGGAAACCCATCAACAAAGGAAGCACCAACAGATAACAACAGAAGAAGGTGAAGGGAGTGGTAGCCACACCAACTCAACCCAGGACCGATCTGGAAATACAACTAAATGGTAGAGAAATTACTCAGAATGAACAATGGAACAAGAGACAGAGAATCCTCAAAACCTGGTACACATGGAAGAACCAGCTTCAACACAACCTGCCCACACCTTCACAACAAAATACAAGACGTGGTGGATGGAGTGACCCTCAGTTAACCAGCTGGAGGAAAGGACCCACCAAAGAAAGACCCAGCAACAGTCAAACCCCAAAGACATACAGAGAGACAACATAAATGACAGCCTAAGACCAGCGAGCTCAGGAGATCATGGAGACTGCACCACTGAATCTCACAGGTCTTCTAACATAGGAGTTCACACCATAAACCCAGGGACTTAGAACAGATCAATTTAAGAAGCAGAGGCTAACAAGAAGAATCTTACAAACAATGGGAAGACAAAGAAACAATCCCCAAGTGAAAGGAAAGGAGGAAGCCAGAGAAAGGATGCTAAATGAAATAGAGGCAAGTCATCTATCAGATACTGAGTTCAAAGCAATAATTATAAGGAAGCTCAATTAGCTCACAGAGAATTACCAAAAACTACAAGAAAACTACAATAAACTCACTGCAAACTATATCAACATGAAAAAGGAAATAGAGACTATCAACAAGGGCCAAGAGGAAGAATACAATTTCTGAACTGAAGAAAACAGTGGAAGGAATCAAAAACAGGCTAGATGAAGCAGAGGATCAGATCAGCAAACTGGAGGTAGAAAAAAGGTAGAAAAAAAAAACACCCAGAAAGAGCAAGAAAAGGAAAAGAGGCTTAGAAAGAATAAAGAGGGGTTAAGGGAAATGCAGGACAACATGACACATAATAATATCCATATAATAGGGTTACCATAAGGAGAAGAGGAAGAACAAGGGATAGAAAACCTGTTTGAAAAAGTAATGATGGAAAACTTTCCTAATTTGATAAGAGAAAAAGTCCCACAAATGCAGGAAACACAGAGAGTTTCAATCAAGAGGAACCCAAAGAGGCCCACTTCAAGACACATCATAATTAAAATGTCAAAATTCCAAGGCAAAGAGAGAATCTTAAAGGCAGCAAGGGAAAAACAGCAAGTAACATACAAGGGAACCCCGATAAGACTAGCAGCTGATTTCTCAATGGAAAGGTTCCAAGCCAGAAGGGAAT